TTTCGAAAGTGAAACACGTAAAGCCAATTCAACAAGGTCGATGAAATCGCTGGCTGGAATAGGAAGATCAAGTGAATCGTCAATTTTCCTGCACAAGGGATAGATGGCATGTGTAGTAGGTAGTTTGGTGAATAGGGATGTTACGTCAAGGCTAGAGTGTTTCTTGTTCCTGATGTTGATGCTGCGAATGTGATTGAAAAAATCACCCGGGTGATCAAACACTCGAGTGCTGTAATGTCCTCGTCAGAATGAGTTCATCGGCCTATTTTGGTATCATTGGCCAACTTGCTATGTCGCTATTTATTTCCTCATGTATGTCATATATGTAGTTTGTGAACATCAAGGGGCCCAACACTGACCCCTGTGGAACACCACTCGTAATGCTACCCCATTCTGATTTCTCCCCATTTATGCAAACTCTCTGCTGCCTATCTGTCAACCACACCTCTATCCAGGAAAAAATTTCTCCTATTCCGTGTGCCTTAATTTTCCTCAATAGTCTCTGATGTGGGACTATCAAAAGCCTTACTGAAGTCCATATACACAATATCATATTCATTCCCATGATCTACCTCAACTACCTTAGTGAAAAAGTTAATAAATTCACAAGGCAGGAATCCCCTTTTGTAAAATTGTGCTGAGATTCGTTGATCAATTTATGTTTTTCAAGATGGCTACGAATTGCCTCGGCAATTATCGATTCCATAAATTTTCCCACTATGGAGGTTAGGCTTATTGGTCTATAGTTCGAAGCTAAGGACCTGTCACCTGCTTAGAAAATTGGTATCACATTTGCCATTTTCCATTTATCTGGGACTATGCCAGTTTGTAGTGATGTGTCGAAAAGATTAGCCAAAGGATTGCTAAGCTCCTCTTTACATTCCTTCAGAACCTTTGCGTACAGTTCGTCAGGACCCGGGGATTTGTTAGAATTTAATTTATCTATTTGTCTAAGGACCATGTCACTTGTGACCCTAATCGTGAATAGTTTAGTATCCTGTTCTACGAGCCTGGCCCATGGCCAGGCTCAGAGAGTAGAGAAACTCTCTAAACTCTTCAAAGGTATATCAAAGGTGTACATACTTTATTTCTGGAATATCGCTAGTATCTTCCTGTGTAAAGACTGAGAGGAAGTGTTAAAAATTCTACACATTTTCTTACCAGTGTAGGTGAGCTGACCCTAGTAACTTTTGAGTGGGCCTATCTTGTCCCTAATACTAGTTTTGAATACCTGAAGGAATCCTTTTGGGTTAGTTTTCGATTCCTTTGCAACTTCAACCTCATAATCTCTCTTTGCTTTTCTTATTCCCTCTTTTATTTCTCTCTTCAACTGAATATATTGATTTTTTGACTGTCGTCCTCCTCTTTTGATTCGCCTATATATGCCTCTGTTTTGACCAATGAGATGCTTTAATTTATTGTTTATCCATTTAGGATAATTTTTGTTTGATCTGATTTCCCTATTCGGAACATCAACTGTCTGAATAGCTGCAACTATGCTCCGTAAAACATCATATCTGTAACCATCACCACCTACCTGGCCCACAGTCAGGTCATTCCAGTTCAGCCCACCCAGGTAATTTCTCAGTCTTATGAAATCAGCCAAGCAGAAGTCAGGGACAGAGACTTGACTGCCATTATTAGGGTAATTCCATGATATATTAAAAGTGAGTGATTTGTGATCACTTTCCCCAAGCTCATAATTAGCCTCAAGATTATTAATTAATGATTCCCTGCTGGTAAGAACCAAGTCAAGCAGGTTATTTCCTCTAATTGGTTCTGTCACAAACTGTTTTAAAAAACAATCCTGAATCGTATCAAGAAAGTCGCTTGACTCTAAATTTCCTGTCAAACTGTTCCAGTCAATTTGTCAAAAATTATAATCTCCCACTGGCACATTTTCATATGTAGATGTATGGGACGAAATTCGTAGGGCAAGTTTACTGCAGTCTCTATCAAGGTTTGAGAACCTGTAAATCACCCCCAAGATTAGTTTTTCACGGCCCTCGAGAAGCTGTAACCAAAGATTCAGTGGCTGACGCTTAAGTGGCCCCTATTTTCCCAAATCTTACTCCTATATACCTGACAAACACTTTGGAAAAATCTTTGATACCCTAGCAACTTTGATTTCATAATCTCTTCGACTTATCCTATACCTGTTTCAGACTTCTTTTGAACTGAATTCAATTCTTCTGCAAATGCCTTTCTTTTCACCCACGAGGACTGCAAGTCTAAACGTTTATCCATTTAGGTTAATTTGTGTTTCATTTAATTTCTGTGTTAATAATATATGCAGGTTGGGCAGCTTGTACAACGCTTTGAGGAATGTGACATTGTCAACCCTGTTCCCCAACCGTCCCGGCCTCCCTCCCTCTAATCCCTAGTCAGCTCACTCCTGACTACATTACTCGGGTAATCTCTAGGTGGGTACATGCACCTCGGAGTGTATATGTATATATAGTATGTATATTTTATATTATATATATATATATATATATATAATATATATATATATATATATATATATATATTATATATACATGTGGGTATATGTACGTCTCTGAGTGTATATATAATCTTTGGGTGTAAATACAGCGGTGGGTATATACATAGGTGACTGACAAGCAAACAGCTAGTGCGGAAATTAGGTGCGTTAGCAGGATGCTACTTCAAGCTGCCCTGAACGATCACGTTACTTAATAAGGTTTAAAGCCTATCGACTACTTGAGGGTCATTATGGCTGCGTATCACCTGTTCACCAGTCAAGAATATTTTAATTCCTAAAACAGGGAATAAAGTCAATTCTCAGCATATATGCGAACCAACCAGGAACTAGACTGCTACACAATCCAGGTTGGTGCGTGGAAAGCTACAAGTCATGTCCTTCCTACCTTCCCACACTCACGGTAAACACTGCCTGCAATTGCCTGTGACTGATATCGAGGGTTTTTCTACCCTTTTTCAACCGTGTTGTTGCTGGCAAGTGCTTGCTGGGGTCTGTGAAACATATAAGCCAAGAGTCACCGCCAACTGGAGACTTCGATGAGAAAGAAGTGTTCAACACTTAGTTATCTTTATTGTCGAAACGTTTCTCCTGCGCAGCAGGCTTCAGTCGAGTACAGGTAATTACAATACCTGAAACAATATAAATCTTTCTCACTGAAGGTTGCAGTAGGCTGGAGCGTAGCTACCTCACTCAGCACACCGCTTTACTGAGGTGATATAGTCAGGGTCATACCTCAAGAAACTCGTCACCTGCTCTCCCATCTATATATACCTATATCCATGCACTTGAAATTATCCATGCTTACCATGCACTCTCTACAGTCTTGAAATTATCTCCTATGCTTATAGCCTTGAAATTTACTCAATAAATGTTTCCATTCTGCTAGTCTCTTCTAGTACAAGAAGCTTCAACATTATTAAGGTGTCAGTATTTTATACTGTCTCTCCATTACACACGTATCTTGGTTTCAGACTTCTGCTTACCGTAACTCAGTATTTCACTTTATGCATGATTAAATTCTATACGGAGTCTGAAGGGTAAGAGAATAACGATGATCAATTTAGTAAATGAACAGACACATACAACGCCTTGGATACTTTACTGAAGGCCCAGTCTCGCTCACCAGGACCTTACGCAGCCTTAACGGCATAAAACTTAAAGTGAGCGAAATGTAGCCTGCAATAAATTATCCAAACCTTTGCATGTGTCCATTTACCTTTTAGTTTATGTATGCGATAATTAATGTTATTTCCCCGTATATTAGAGCTTTGCACATTTCCACACTTAACTTAATAAACTGTCACCGTTCCAATAACATTAGCGTGTCTAAATCATTTTGAAGACGTTATATCCAACGCATAAATATTGTTGAACAGTGCTCAACCAAACACTGATATTTTTTTTTACAGTACGTACAGTAGGTGGTCAGGCCTCAGACCATTTAAATTATACAACAATAAAGGTGTGGAACGGATTGGCTGAACATGCGGAGGCCAGTCTTAGCATGAACAAGTTCAAAAAGAGCTAAAAAGGTACTTAATGAACGAAGCTACAAAAAGGGAAATGCGATAGTTAACATTGGTGTACCTATTATGTTTTTTTCCTCTATTCTGTTGAACTTTCTTGTACACTATTCAAGTTTGCTTTATCCTCATTGTATCTTTATTGTAACTTAGTTACGACTTCATGCAGCTAATTAATTTTATTTGGAGGTTTATAGTGAAAAATGATTTATACTGTATCTAATAGCAAGGGAGCTAACAGCAGGATATTACAATGACAACAATGATAATCACTGACTTTTTTGTGGGAGGGGAGGGTTACCCTAGGTAATTCACACAAAACTTGTTAAACTGTACTGATGTGCAACTGTGCTTAAATACACTTACTGATGCGACCCACAGATGACTAGCATATATTACTGATTTACCTGCTAGGTAAAGCATGTGCAACAGGTGTTAGTCAGGATAAAAACTGTATTCAGGTAATTTTTGGTGTATACAATGGGCTTTCTCAAAGCCCATTGTACAAGCCAAAACACAAATATTCGGCTAATGTTTGGCCTGTACAATAAGCTTTCTCAAGTCAATGACTGACTTGATAAAGCCTGGTATACAGGCGAAATATTGCCTGAATAGTTTCCAATTACTAATTCTGTGCATCATGTACAACTCATCGGTATTCCCATACCATCTAGGTGTAAAGAAACTTGTAGAAGCGTGATGGAGGGAGGGAGGTAACATGTCTCCCTGACGCACTGGGTGGGGGTTGGCTCCACGCGGGAGGCAGCAGCAGCAGCAGCAGCAGCTGAGAGGCGGGAGAACAACAAGAGCCGCGTGCTGCTGCTGCTACTGGGTTCACTGTGCTCACCGCCTTTGTAATCAATACTTGTTATACTATACACTTGCCTGACGTCTTGGCAGCCACCTGTATATACCAGTTGCTGTCACTACTTACACACACGCTTATAACCTCACCCACACTACACACTCACTTAGGTGTGCATATGTGACAAGCCTCACTCGCAAAACTCTAGTAGTAAGAGACGCCACGTCCACCCACCACCATGACTAAACGCGCACTAACTAGTCTAGTCCGAGCCTGCGACTCCATGGTGGAGAGTGGCGCAGCCCCGGCCAGACCTCACTCAGCTGTTCTCACTGCATCTTTCATGCAACTCTTACAACATTACTTTGTTATCTTTAAAGAGTATCCAGTGCACGTACGTCATTATGGGTGCAACTCACATGTGCACATAATATGCTTTGTAGATGAGATTTTGTCGATTGTTGCCACTGCTCCTTTGTTATTCTCAGTGCTTTATACATGCTGTATTTAACCCTGACTTCCATTTCTACTTTCCTCATAAAAGAATTAAAGTTCTCTAATGTTTAAAAAGGAGTTGCGAAATTAAAACAACAGATATAAGACTAATCAGACTAGCACAATTAAACCTTCAGAACAGAGCAAAGTTGGCATATTAATTACTAATATGAACAAGGGAAGTAGTTTAAAAAAACCAGGAACCGTGGACATAATGTATGAGAAGAATCTTAAATACCACAATATTAATTAAATACTCTTATTATAACAATAAAAGCACGTAAAGGATATATTATATATATATATATATATATATATATATTATATAATATATATATATATATATATATATATATATATAATGTCGTGCCGAATATGTAAAACTGGTCAATTAGCAAGAACTCATTTAAAATTAAGTCCTTTCTAAAATTTTCTCTTATACGTTTAAAGATATATATTTTTCATTAATGTTGATGTAAAATTTATAATTTTGCACCAAAAGGAACTTAGAAAACTTACCTAACCTTATTATAACAAGCGCAATTTATTTTAGCCTAACCCAACTAAATATATTTTAGATTTGTTTACAATAATTTAATACTAAACAAACACATTGAAATATATTTTTTTCGTTAGGTTCAGATGATTTTGGGCGAAATTATTGCATACACAAATTTTCACTTGTCCTATATGGCAAGATGAGCGTTGCTATTTAAGCCAAGATCGCAAGTTCTGCCTATTCGGCACGACATATATATATATATATATATTTTATATATATATATATATATATATATATATATATATATATATATATATATATATATATATATATTTTTATCACACTGGGAGATTCCCACCAAGGCAGGGTGGCCCGAAAAAGAAAAACTTTCACCATCATTCACTCCATCACTGTCTTGCCAGAAGGGTGCTTTACACTACAGTTTTTAAACTTCAGAGTGCAGGCACTGTACTTCCCATCTCCAGGACTCAAGTCCGGCCTGCCGGTTTCCCTGAACCCCTTCATAAATGTTACTTTGCTCACACTCCAACAGCACGTCAAGTATTAAGAACCATTCGTCTCCATTCACTCCTATCAAACATGCTCACGCACGCCTGCTGGAAGTCCAAGCCCCTCGCACACAAAACCTCCTTTACCCCCTCCCTCCAACCTTTCCTAGGCCGACCCCTACCCCGCCTTCCTTCCACTACAGACTGATACACTCTTGAAGTCATTCTGTTTCGCTCCATTCTCTCTACATGTCCAAAAACCACCTCAAAAACCCTTCCCACCCCTCTGGCCCAACAGTTTTGGTAACCCCCCGCCCCCCCTCCTAATTCCCAAAAATACGAATTTCGCTTTAAAATATTCACCCCCCACACATTGCCCTAAGACTTAAACATTCCAGTGCCTCCAGCCTTCTCCTCGCTGCAACATTCATCCCCCAATGTTTCCCCAAAAACCCATATAAGAGTTTTGGGGAAAAACTATACTCTCATACTTTCCCCTCTTTCCCTCCGGGACAAAGTTCTTTTTTCTCCACAGACCCCTAAGTGCCCCCACTCACCCTTTTCCCCCTCATCAATTTCTATGTTTTCACCTCATCCTTCATAGCCCCATCCCCGACCGCCCCCACTCCCAAATATCTAAATTCCCATTCACCCCCTCCCTACCTCTCCCCCCTCCCAAACTGATATCCCAAACTTTCATCACCCCAATATTTTTTAAAACCCCCATAACCTTACTCTTTCCTTATTTACTTTCAAATTTTTTTTTTTTGCACAACCCTACCAAAATTTAACCACCCAACCCCTGCAAAATTCCCCTTCAGAATCTCCCCAAACACAGTGTTTATCAGCAAAGAGCAATGTGACAAATCCCACTTTATGGTGATTTTTTTATCTTTTAAAATCCACGTCTTTTTTTCAAAACCCTCGCTTTACTTCTCTTTCAAAACCCCCTCTATAAATATATTAAAAAAACCCCGGTGACAAACACACATCCTTGTCTTTAAAGGGCCCACTTTTACTGGGAAAAAAATTTTCCCCCTTTCCCATGTACTCTAAATTGAGCCTTACTATCCTCGAAAAACCTTCACGCTTTTAGTAACCCAAACCCCTACACCTACCCCCGCAAATCTGCCACATTGCCCCCCTTTCCCCCCTGTCATGCGCCTTTTTTCCAAAACCATAAAAAGGGCCCCAAAGACCTCTTTTGCCTTATCTTAAATCTGTTCCTTATATGTTTCACGTAAACAAACCCGGGCCACCCACCCCCCACCCTTTTTTAAAAACCTCCTTTTCATCCTTTCTATCCTATTTTTCCCCTTTACTTTTAAATTTTTTTCAATAATAACTTTTACCATTTCACTTTTCCAGGTTTTACTCAACAACTTTTCCCCCTTTAATTTTTGCACTCTCCCTTTTTTCCCCTTTGCCCTTTATACCCAAAAGGGAAATATGGGATGGGTCTCGCCAATCCCTTGGTTTCCCTTTTTCCCCTTCCATACATTTATTTAAAAAATTGCACCAACCACTCCAAAACTAAATCCCCCCTGCTTTAACATTTCAAACTTCATCCCATCAATCCCCTGCCTTTCCCCCCTTTTTTTTACCCCACTGGCCCCAGAAATTCCCCCACACTCAAAACTGGCTTTTTCCTCACTCCTACAAAATGTTATTTTTCCCCCTTGCCCTTTACACAAATAACTTCCCATCTTCCCCCCCCTTTAACTTTTTAAAAATTCCCCAAAATATTCCCTCCACTTCCCAATACCTTAAAATCTCCAAATTTTAAAAAACTCTCCTCTCCTATTTTTAACGACAAATCCAATTTTTTCTCTAACTTTTTTTAACTTGTTAATTTTCACTCCCCAAAAATTTTTTTAAATTTTTAAAAAAATTTGTTGATAACATCTCACCCCTCTCTTTTTCTCTCTTTTTACTTGCTTCACCACCTCAACCTCTCTCTTTTTTTTTCCTTTTTACTCATCCCTCCTTGCATCACTTCTATTTGTAAAAAACTTCTCATATGCTAACTTTTTCCCCCCTTACTATCTCTTTACATCATCATTTTCAGAATTCTCACACCACCATTTGCCCTCAAAAAAAGACATCTCCACTGCCCCCAGCCTTTTTCCTCGCTGACACATTCTCACCTATACTTCACACCCTAAAAAAGTGTTGGGATAACTATACTCTCACACTTTTCCCCCCCCTTTTTTCCCCCAAGGGGCAAGGTTCTTTTTTCTCCACAACCCTAAGCGCACCACTCACCTTTTTCCCCCCCATTTAATTCAAAGTTCTGGGAAGGAAAACCCCGATTTTGTGGTTTACTTTTGGCCAGTGCAAACGCCTTAGTGCAAAACTCAAGATAGTTGATGAAACCCAAACTGTGTAACACCCGAGGATCTTTATTTTTGAAAAAGTTTCAAAAACCAGTGAGGGAAAAATTCAATTTGATAGGAGTAGAGGAAAAAAAAGGTTTTAAAATTTTTATATATATATATATATATAAAAAATATATAATTAAAAAATTTGTTTTTATTGCCGGGTACTCGTTAAGGAAAGGGTTTAGTTAGCCCCGATTACCCGCCTTTTCTCCCCCAAACCCCCAAATTGGGTGTTTGTCTGGCCCGGGTACTAGTTAAGGTAGGGTAAGTCAAGCCCCCCGTTTTTTCCCCCCTTTTTTTCCCCCTCCCTGAAAGTGATAGTTTTTTACTGCCGGCCCCTTGTTAAGGGAGGTCAGTCCTTTGCTCCCCCCTATTTCCCCCCCTCCCTTCCCCCCCCCCCCCGAAAGGTGACGTTGTGGGGCTCTGGTTAAACAGTAAAAACCTAGACCCCCAGCTCCCAACTCTACTGTAAGTACATGCCTGCCCGTATTTTTAGTGGAAATTTAAAATTTGGTTTTAAAGCTTCACTTTTTATAAAAATAAACTTTGTCTTTTCAGCCCCTTTTTCTATTTGGTTGGGCTGTTTAATAATCACCCCATCTTTTAAATTCACTTACCATGGAGAGGATTTTTTTAAACAGTGGGGAAAACCCGTGTCACCAACACCAGACACCCATGTTTTATATACATTTAAATTAGCGTTGAATTCAGTTATCATTTATATTTTTCATTTTTCATTTTCTTTAATGTAGGATTAATATTTCATATTTAAGTGTTTTAAATTTTATATTTTCTATATAATAAAGTGTTTGTTTGTCTGTTATTATTTCTTTTTCTATTCACTAATTTTCCTGAGGAAGAGCCAGCCTGAGTAATACTGAATGAAGTTGTTACAGGGCTGAGTAAGCCTTCACAACCAGTCTCTCTCCCTCTTATAAGCAAGAATTATGGACTACCAGTATGTTAGCTTACATAGGTACGTGTCTGAGTTTTTGAGGTTCTTATAACCTGTTTAACCGTAATGTTCTGTAGAGTATATGACTAATCACCTGTGTCTCAATTATGTTTAGGAAGTTTAGCCTTCAAGTAATAATCTGAAGAATGTGAGCTCTGTGGTCTCCAGTGGTAACCTATGCCTAAATGTAGTGGTACTAGCCAAAAGTTTTGCAGCGGCATCAGCAAGACGGAAAATGAGGTAATCAGGTAATCGTTAATCCCACTACCGCATCTTCCATTTGTGACATAGCAAACTTGTACTAAGATAGTGAGGCTATCAAGCGTGAGGCCTGACCTGACTTGGCCTGGCCTGTGACCGGTCCGTGAGAAGGGAGGGGCGGTGACCCCTGAAATTTTCATGTAAACTTCAAGACTAAGCTCTACTACTGGTTGAAGAGGGTACAACA